GGGGGTGGCATTCACGCGCTTCCAGACGCGCTACTTCCAGGGCCGCTACGGCAACCTGGACGCCTCCGTCGTGTCCTATGGGTGCGCAACTGCGCCGGCACCACCAGGCGGGCCCGCGCGCTTGCTGACCGGGCGGGGCCTCGCGATGGGCATCATGGCCCGTCTGTCATCACGCCCTCGAGGGTGTCTTGACGACACCCCCAAGTTCGGTGCGGCGCGCCTTGTTTGCTATCGCCTTGCCACTCGTGCCTGACCATTTGATACTGCCTGACTCCGCGCGTCTCTCCAGGTTCCCCTTTTGCTCTGCCTGCCCCCCTCCATCGACACCTGATAACTCTCTCTCCTGATTCCTGGACCCCGCGTGTCGCTGGCCTTTCCTGCAATCAAAGGCCCTGCCAGACCCCGACCCTCAACTTCTGCGTCGAGCGCCACCAGCAGATCGTGGCGTTCCAGCCTGAGCCCTATTGGCTGGTCAAACCCGCGGTGGTCAAGGTGGGAGCGCGCGAGGCTGCGCTGACTCTATTGTCGCAAGCCCTGGCGCCGTGAGCGGCGCAGCCGGTGCCTTCAGGCCTGGAGCAGCGCAATTTGTGGGGCCGCCGCGCTTTTGTGATCGCGCGCGCCCGGCAGCCATGGCCGCGAGCTGTGAGAGCTGGCGAAAGGGATTTGCTGCGCAGAGCGGGGCCTGGGTATGCCCTCGGCAGCTCGTGCCCACAACCTGGCTTCAATCTGCGCATGTGGATGGATGCAAAGACATGTGTACACATGTAGCGCCTCTGGCCTCCCTGCGGGCTCTTCCTTCGGACAGGGGGGCGACAGGCTGGCCCTGGAATGGGAGAGGGGCCGCGTGTTTGACCAGGATGTGGCGGGGATGTTCCTCGCCAACGTCAAGGACGCGCGCGCGCTCAAGGTGGGCCGCCTGGTGGGCGCCGCATCAGCATCATGATGACATCATCATCTTTCTCATCATCATCATCATCAGCAGCATCATCATCATCAGCAGCATCATCATCATCAGCAGCATAATCATCTCGTCATCATTGTCGCGCCACCCCCACCGCCCCGCACGTATCTCACCCCGCCACATACTCTGTCGTTGCTAACGCCCCCACCTCCTGCATGAAAATACTCACCCCGCAGGTGGTGTCTGTCACCAGCAAGGAGGAGCGGCGGCCGCGCCCCCACGGCCTCAATACGGTTGAGCTGCTCAAGGCCGCATCCTCGTCGCTCAACATGGGCCCCGCGCACGCCATGCAGGCGGGTGGGGGGCGCAGCATGGTCGATGCAGGGCGCATGGGTGATGGTGGCGGCGACAACAAAGTGACAACAAGAACCGGCTCTATGGGTTGATAAACCAGGTTGTTTCTTTTTCTTCTGCTGTCAACCAGCCTGTCACATCTGACCTCTACCAATTCTCTCCATAACCCAACTCTCTGCTCGTCGCTGCTTCACTTCCAATGTAACCCCACAAGCAGATTGCAGAGCGCCTGTACACCAGTGGCTACCTGTCCTACCCGCGCACAGAGAGCAGCGCCTACCCCGAAAACTTTGACCTGCAGACGGCCCTCAGGGCGCAGGCGCGCCAGCCCCTGTGGGGGCAGTACGCGCAGGCCGTGATCGCGGCTGGCGCGGGACTGCCTAAGGTGGGGCGGGGCCAGCCGCTAGCACTTGCGGGCGGCCGGTCAAAGGGGAGGAGTGTGCTCACCTCCAAGTGCTGCTCGTCTCTGTGCTTGGGCCGAAACAGGAACGGCGCACCCCCTCGGGGTATGAAGGAGCGAAGGAAGCCGACGGTTTGTTTAATCAGCATGCAGTGATGCGTTTGGCCTCGCCCCTGATAGAACGAGCAGCAACGCCACATACTCCCTCGCTGCCCGTTGGCGATCCCTGTGAACCTCGCTCCAAACAGGGGGGCGTTGATGCGGGCGACCACCCGCCCATAACGCCCGTGGAGCCCGCCACAGAGGAAGAGCTCGGCGGCGGCGACGCCTGGCGCCTGTACGACTTCTGCGCGAGGTGGTTTCTGGCCTCTGTGTCGCCGGACTGCGTGGTCAGGTCAGCGCGGACCATGCGGACTGGACGAGATTGAAGCTGCATTTTGATAGACTGGATTATTGCCTTCAAGAATCGAAGGCGAGGTTAATGCGCAAATGGTGCAGCTCCCTGCATGTGGCAGCTGGTGGTTTTGAGCAGTGTCAATCCCAAAGACACAGCTTGCGTGCAGGCGCACCTCAGCGATTGCGCCCCCGACCGCGCTGCTGTTGCTGGCCTGCACCCCCCTTACCTGTGACAGGAAGACCAAAGCAGTGCTGAGCGGCGGCGGCGAGGCGTTTGTCGCGGGCGGCACTGTGGTGTTGAAACCGGGCTTCACGGCTATCATGCCCTGGAGGGTGGGTTGGGGCAAATTGCTGCGATCAGCTCAGGGTTAAGCGTGCGATTGGCGGCACATGAGTCATATGAGTGCATGCGTGCTCAAGTGCGTTTGTGTGTGTGGGGGCGTGCATGTGTGTGTGTGTGTGTGTGTGCTCGTGCGCGCGCGCACACACACACACACACACACACTCACACACACACATGCGCGTGCCGTGTATTCATAAGGATGCAGCATGGATTGGGAGACGGGCGGGTGTCAAGGGACAGCAATGAATGTGTGAAGCGCAGCTCTCGCTTGCATCTATCAGGCGGCCACCTGGCCTTGCGCAACTCCCTTTTGTCGTGCAGGCACCCCAGGCGGAGCCGCTGCCGGTGCTGCAGGAGGGGGAGAGCCTGCCCCTGCAGGCTGTGGAGCTGGTGCAGGTGCGCCTCAGGGAGAGAGCGCTGCCAAAACAAGGACCGACGGCCATGGGATGTCAGGGGCAGCAATGCGGGGCGGCTGGAAGTTGACATTCCAAACTGCCAGCTGCACTCGGCCACATGTCCCTTTGTGCAGCTTCACACCCACCTTGGATGACCCGTCGCACCATGGCCGCCAGACCAGCAATGGACGTCATCATCCCCCCCCCCAAAAAACATCACCGCCTTTGCAACAATTTTCAGGGCAAGACCAGCCCTCCCGACTATCTGACAGAGGCTGAGCTCATTGAGCGCATGGAGAAGCACGGCATAGGGACGGGTGCGGACGAGCGGCCGCAACGCGCAGGCCTGGCGTGAGCGTGCAGACGCCTCGCCTTGGCCAACACGTGGGGGGCTTGCCGGCCGCACGCCGCATCGCTTGGCCTGCGCCCTGTTGTTCTGAGGGTCTGGTTGCAAAGGCCTTGTGAGGAGGCGGGACCTCAAGGCCAGGCCCGACAACACCTCACCCATCACCCATCAGCCACGCATCAACCACCCCAATGGCTAACACAACCCATCCGAACAACCCCAACCATGTTCCCCCATCCTCAGCCACTGACCCTATTTGCACATCCTGCCCCCCTCCATCAACCACCCCAAGACGCCAGCATCCCCACCCACATCAACAACATCGTGGAGCGCAACTACGTGAAAGTGGAGCCGGGCCGTAGGGTCGTGCCGACAGAGCTGGGGGTCACGCTCATCAAGGGGTGAGGGGGCCGGCTGGGGGGTGGCGGGCTGGTGGCTGGTGTCGTCTCAGCGGTGCAATTGGGGCTTCAAGGAAGGGGTTAGTTGAGTTTTGGTTTGAGCTGTATGTGTGCAGGGATGCAGTGGAGTTTGAAGGTCAATGATTTGGGGGCTGGGTGGACAGGTGAAGTGAAGGAGAGGCCAAGTAAGACGAACGAGGGGCAGTAGAGGGTAGGTCCATCAAACGTGTGCCAGGCACCCCGCAGGGCCGTCATACACCGATCTGAGCCTGCTGTGAGTTGTAATTAGTAGTCCTTTTCTGTATCAACGATATCTCGCTGCACCCTCCCTGCGTTGTGCAGGTATCAACTGATTGACGGGGAGCTGTGCAAGCCCCAGGTGAGTCACTCCAGCGCCGCGCCGCAAGCCGCCAGCACGCTGAGGGGCCACGACACCCTGCCCGATGGCTGCCATGGCCGCGGTGCCATTGAGCTTCGGCTGCCGAGCTCGATGAACCCCTGTTGAACCAAACTCCGGCCTCCGGCCCACCGCCAGCCGCGCCCATCACTTGCTCAATCACATGGCTGCCCGCTGCACCTGTCAGCTGCGACACCAGTGCAGAACACGCCGCCTGCATTCACCTCCATGCTTGACCTGCACATACTCGGTTGTTGCCTCTCGACCCTCTGACCCAGGTGCGTGCCCACGTGGAGGCCCAGATCAACCTGGTGGCTCAGGGGCAGGCCAAGAGGGAGGCCGTGGTGGCCCACACGCTGGAGCAGTTCAGGTGGCTGAGGCCCGGGAATTAGGGATTCTGGGGTCCCACGGTCGGTCTACTGTTTGGGTCAGGTTGGCCGGTCGCACGATTTCGACTCTCGGTGATCCAGGTGTCGGGCGCGCCCCTGCCATCTGCAATTGTGGGCAGCATGCGTTGTGCCTTTGCAGCGCAGGCCTTGGACTGGCAGTGGTCACAGGGCATTCTGGACCGCCGAGAAAGGCACCCAGCCGCCGTGCCTTGGCAGCCACCGCCCACCTGAAACCTTACTAGCCCCTCACCCACGTCGATGCTGCATGGCCTTCTGAAGAGATGAGTTCTACAATCTCCCCACCCCAGGGCCAAATTTGCGTTCTTTGTGGCCCACATCTCGCGTATGGATGCGCTGTTTGAGGCCAGCTTCTCGCCCCTGAGCTCCTCAGGTGCGGAGGGGGTGCGGGGCTTCCGCGGTTGCTGCCGCCCAGCCCCCTCACGGCTCTTCGCAGGCCTCTGCTGGCATTTGCCCTCACTCCGCTCTGATCCCTTGGTTGCAATCCCATAAAGGCCTCTGCGTATCCCCCTGCATGCCGCCCTTCCCAGGTCGGCCCATGTCAAAATGCGGCAAGTGCCGGCGCTACATGAAGTTCATCGGTGAGGGCTGTTCTTGGATGATAATGACATGCAAGACATTCTCACCATGATCTGCACCGCCACAGCTTGATGCCTGTACTGCAAGCCTCTACACAGCCTGCGGTGATGCCCTTTACACGCTGTATGTTTGCGTACCGCCCATGCGTGCGCAGGGGCGCGGCCGCAGCGGCTGTACTGCCCCACCTGTGAGGACGTGTACGCTCTGCCCCAGGGCGGGCAGATCAAGCAGGTGATGCAACTGCTGGAAGGTGGCTTTCATCGCCACCAGCGGTGATAGGCGTCTGCCTCGCTCACGCCTGATATGTCAATGATCGACCTCCATGCTGTGCGCCCTTTCGGTAGTTTACTGTCAGCGTGCATTTGCGAATCGCGCCCCAAGCATCATCCAAGCCGCAGCTGAACCCTGGGATACCGGCACACCTGTTGCTGCCCACACACGCACCCCTCGCCTCAGCCAGTTCTCTGCAAATCCGTTTACCCCCCCCTTCATTTTGCAGTACAAGGGGCTGACCTGCCCCCTGGACGGCTTCGAGCTGCTGCTCTTCAGCCTGGCTGGCCAGGATGGCAAGACGTACCCCCTCTGCCCCCTCTGCTTCTCGTACCCGCCCTTCGAGGTGCGGCTGGTGGCAGGCGGCTGCTGGCACTGCGCTGGGGCGGCCCGCGGGGCGCTGCCTTGTGCTGAGCCTCCCTGGCGCTGGCTCCTGGGGGTGCCTGCATTGTGCGGGTGATTATCCATGACAAGCCAGGGTTCAACGGTCGCATTGTTGCGTTGGCAATGACGGCACATATGCCTCCTGGTGACGAGTGACGCCCACCAGCTCACCAGTTTCCGCCTCTTCGCGCCCCGCCTCCCGCAGGGTGCGGTCAAGGTCGGGGGCGAGGGCGCCAGCATGAAGCCAGGAATGCCCTGCACCACCTGCCTGCACCCCACGGTGGGCGGCGCGGGCCAGCCGACTCGGTTGTTCGCATGGCGTGCCCCGCCATGCCAGGGCTGTCCGAGCGCCAGAGCGGCAGGGGCCAGTGCGATGTGGAGGACACCGGCGGGCCGGGGGGAGGGGCCCGGGTGGTGTTTGTTTGTCTGCAGCATGCACCCCTGAAAGGCATTTGCTACGCACCTGAGGTGATGTATGGTCGGCGGACGGGCTGGCGCTGACCAAGAAAGCATCCTGCCAATCGCTTCCTTGCAGTGCAAGCATGCGCCAAGCCGGCAAGGGGTGATGCAGGTGCGCACCGCGCAGGGTTGTGTTGCACCACTGTAGCACAGGGCGAGCTGGCGCCCCTCTTGCCCCACCTTTTGTCGTGGTTCGCGGGCCCCACATAGCCTGTTGACACGTTTACGCACATGTGTGTGTGTAACCCCCCCACACACACACACACAAAACCACAGCACTTGGCTGTTTTGGAATTCTTGACACTCTTAAACTCAACAACCCTCGCTCGCACCGCAGTGCCCTGAGTGCCAGGCGGGCATGCTGGTGCTGGACCCAGTGTCGGGCCCCAAGTGGCGCCTGGATTGCAGGTGGCAAAAAACTTTGACCGGCAGCCTGTGCAACCGTCACTTCCCCTGCTGCAGCTGCTGCCGCTACGACTGCTGCCGCTGCGCTTCCACCCATTGGACTACCAATCCAAGCACATGCATGCATCCCACTGCTTGTGTACCGGCCCCCTCTGCCCCCTGCCCGGCCGGCGCCCCTCCTCCGATACCTGTACGGACAGGCAGCTGCTGACCAGCTTCGCCCCGCCCTACCTGCCCCCTCCCAACACCCTGGTCGGCCATTCTGATGCCCCAGCCGCTGTAGCTTCCTGATCTACCTGCCAAAGGAATTGCATGACGCCAAGGTGTCGCAGCACACCTGCGAGGTGCGGCCGACAGATGCACAGGGACACTGCAGCGGCAGCCACTGCTGTCTGGTGCATCGCCATGCCAGCCGACGTGGCTTGCTATTCGGGGAACGCTGGGGGAAACACAGAGCGATGCGGGCAAGCAGCAGAGGAGAAACAGCACCCTCCCCAAGCCGTGCCGCACCCTGCCGCTTTTGTGCATGCGCCCTTGCAGGAGTGCGCGTCCCGCCTGCTGCAGCTGGAGTTCAGGAAGGGCGCCTCGGCGCCCGGCCTGCTGGCGGGGGGCGAGACGGGCTACGAGGGCTGCGTCGCGTGTGATGAGCAGCTGGCAGCGCTGTGCGAGGTGCGTGTGCGTGCGTGTGCGTGCGTGTGTGTGTGTGTGTGTGTGTTTGGCGCGTGTGTGGATGGGGTTGGGTGTATGTGTGTGGAGGGGGGGTGGAGAGAGTGCTGTGCACCACAAATTGCGGGGCATGCAACCCCAGGATGCGATTTGCGTGCACTTGGGGTTGCTGAGAGGTCAGGACCACGGCCCCAAGTGGTTATGCTGGCACGACCCAGCGGTCGGCGGGGTTGGGCGTAGTCTGGTAGGTCGCCCTGGTAGGCCGCACCATGCGGGAGCTCGGGCGCAAGGGTGGCTCCCGTCCGCGCCCGCGGCTGACCCTCTGAACGCCTGCCTTTTGGGTTCGTCAAGTGGTGGAAATGAGCATCAGCGCCTGTCAATCCCGACACCTCATCAACCCCCGCAGGTCAAGCACGGGCGCACGTGGGTCAACCGCGGAGGCGGCGGGCGGCGGGGCCGCGGCCGCGGGCGGCGGGGCCGTGGGCGGGGACGGGGCCGCAATATCGACCCAAAAATGTCGTTTGACCAGTTCTGACCCGTGGAGTTGGGCTTCAAGTGTCGAGTCCAACAGCTCTGATGGGCACCAACGGCACGCTTTCGTTTGTGTCGTTCACAGGTTGTTGATGTCGCAAGAATCTGCGTGTCCAACGTCATGTGCTTCAAAATTGTCGCCTTGAAGCGACCTTGTTGGGCGTGTTACGGACGTGCCGCTTGGACTTCTCACGACTGGAAATCCCCCCACCCCCCATTTCTTCGCCCTGGCGCATGACTCGCGTGCACGTTTGTTGCTGGGCTGTGTTCTTTGCCATCGCACATGCTGTAGTCCCCTTGCTGTAGTGAAGTAACTTTTCTGGTGTGGGAAGGTTGTGGCTGGTCTGGTTGTCTGGGTCTACGGCCAAGTTTGACGGCTGCACAGCATCCATGTTGCTCTCAATCGACTGTTTCAACGCGTGCAGGAAAGCAAGCCAGCATTACATCTTTGTTACCAGCAAGTGCCACACAAATTGGCAGGTTGACAATCAATTTGACCACCACGGTGCTGGAACCGGCACTGCAGGCCCCGTGCCAACACGGTGTGTATACGCACGCGCACTTGCACCGTTCAAGGGTCCGCCGTGTGCCAAGCAACGCTGCTGCAACGTCAGCCGTCCCAGGGCGGGCGATGCTGCCAACTGGGGGCGCGCGGCCCAGCCAATTGCAGCCGAGGCCGGCGGCCGGTGCAAAGCAGGCAGCCACGGCACATGTGGGTTGCAAGCTGTCCATCTGTGGGTCTAATGGGCAGGCGATGACGCAACTTTCAGCCAAAGCTCAGGTGACCGCGGAGGGCGCCTGGCTGCTGGGCCTGTACACGTGGCGCGCCTGGCGCGGGCCCGTGTGCAATCCCTGCTTGTCCCCTGGGCCGGTACACGTGGCGCGCCTGGCGCGGGCCCGTGTGCAATGCCTGCTTGTCCCCGGGGGCAAGATTGAGCCCGCGTGCGAATTGGCAGCGCCGGGCGCGGCTGGGAGCTGGGATGGTGCCTGCCAGCGCGGCCTGCGCCGCGCTAGGCTGACTGCCGCAGTCAGCGGTGTCTTGAGGGCAGTGGGTGCAGAACTAATTTCAGGATGTGGTGCGCGATTTGAGTGCGGAGCACCCTTGTTGCAGGGGCATGGGCATGGTTGCCTTTTGGAGGGGCAAGCTGCCTCAAGCTGCGCCGCCGCTGCGGCCCACAGGGGCCGAGGACGGCTAGGCGCGGCAAGCCAACGCGCGTTGTTTGCACTGCTTGCGAGGCGCACGTGACAGAAGGGGATGCGAGCGCGCGAAAAAGATACGGAAGATGCAGAGTACGGCTGTGGCATTGGGTTGCGCCAGGGCCATGGCCGCGTGCATCGGTGAAGCGGGCTGCAGCACGACAACCCAATCGACCCTTGTTCGGGTCAACAACCCATGATCATCAACAGCTTCCCTCCCATAAGCCAGGACAGCTGGGATCTCTTCGGCGATGACGTCACCACACGTCACGCATGTACCTGCCGCTCTCGGTGAAATGCTTGACCCACGCCTCGGCCGCCGCGCCGCCCATGCCGCCGTGCTGCCCCACCACCTCGATCAGCGCGCGGTGCACGTCCCTGGCCATGGCCTTGGCGTCCCCGCACACGTACAGGCATGCCCCCGGCTTCCGCAGCAGCTCCCACACCCGCGCGCCCTCGCGGGCGATGTGGTGCTGCACGTAGTCCTTGGAGGGGCCGTCGCGGGAGAAGGCAACGTGCAGCTGCCCCAGGGCGCCGGACTCGACGAAATCCGAGAGCTCGGCCTCGTATAGGAAGTCGTGGGCGCGGCTGCGGCAGCCGAAGAACAGGACAGAGGGGCCGAGCTCGGCGGCGTCGTCCACCAGGCACTGGCGCTCCTGTCGTGGGCCCCGGTGGTGGGTGGTGGTAAACGGGGTCAGCGCGCAGCGTTGACCGCAATTTGACCGCAAATAGACCGGCGGCTCGACCACGCCGCGCAAGCAGCACCCGTTCAAATGCAGACTTTCGGTCGAAGCGAGCCACTGTGGCTCTCTCGCAGCCGCCCCCCCTCCTCCCCTCGCCACCCCGTCACGGGCCGCTCCCCTAGACCCCGTGCGCCGCACCCCTCCCAGCCGCCGCTCCCGGCGCCCAACCCCCTGTGCATGCCCGTCCTCACCTGCAGGAACCCCCGGAAAGGCGCGAGCCCCGTGCCCGGCCCGACCATGATGATGGGCGCGTGCTCGTCCTCAGGCAGCCTGAAGTGGCTGTGGCGGATGAACACCGGCAGCTGGTCCCCCGCCTTTGCGGCCGCCAGCCAGCCGCTGCACACGCCGTGGTGCACGCGGCCCGTGGCGGGCATGACGTCACGCACGACCGAGCAGGTGACGTGCACCGAGCCGGGGTGGCGGGTGGCGCTGCTGCTGATGGAGTAGAAGCGGGGCTGGAGGCGGGGCGCGACAGAGGCGAAGAACAGGCCCAGGGTCGGCTTGGCCGAGGGGAAGTCGCGCATGACCTGGTGGTGGTTAAATTGATCAGGGGAAAGGATGGTGCGTGGGGG